AAGCACGCAGCTAAATACCGGTAGCAACTGTCAAAACGGACTAGACGGAACAAATACAAACCAGGACTTATCAGTTCTACTGGCGAGTGACGGAAACAAACCAGGACTTTACAGTTCTACTGGCGAGTGACGAACGACGACAAGGACCCGACGAGGAACACAGACAACAGGAGGGTTTAAATACACACGGGGTAATCAAGGGAATGAGACACACCTGGGGAGCAATCAACGGGGAGGACAGGACAGAGACTCACAGGAACACAGGACTGAATAAACACAGAAAAACTCAAAACAAACAGAAAACCACGGATCATGACACTTAATCTTTAAGATGAAAATGCCACATTAAACTAAGGACATTCTTGTCTACCAGATTGCAACTGTGCAACATGTACTATACTTACTTTTCAAATTATTTTGTAAGAATAAAGCTCTGAAAGATTCCTAACTCACTGGTAGGAAAATGACTCCCCTCATGAGCCCTCCTGACCTGTCACTCCACGCTCCTGTCCACTCAGCTTTACCCCAGGGATTTCTCAGGCGGATGAGTGGAATGGTTTCATTCTTGAAGTGGGTCTGCAGCCCGTGACCCAAACTCACTCGTTTCACGTCAGTGACCGAGTACGCATGGCCTCGCACCAGACCGTTATCCATCCTCGACTCAAGTTCAAATTCCTGTGTCTGTGAAATTTCAAAGAAAATGTTTGATTTTGACGTAGTCAGAGACTCTGAGGAAACATAAACAGAAGAAACTTGCAGGAAAAGATGGTCACTCACATTGATGGAGGAGCTGATGATTCCATTGTGTTCCCACACCTTGAGAAGATTACCAAACAACTTATCTTGTTTTTTTTTATCTTCGTTGTATTTCTCTTTCTGCAGGTCGATGGCTTCCGCCACGGCTCCACTGAAATCCACCACAGCATCTCCAGTGTTGCCTCCAACCAGGGACTCATAGCAGCCAAAGAGCCTGGACAAGGTGGGAGGAGGAGCATTTGAAGAGTTGATAGGCAGCATCAACATCTGGTTCCATTATTTCCAGACAGATGAGAAACAACTAAGTTTCATCATTCCGACAACATGTCTCCACAGCTCCAGAATCCAGTAGCATCATGCTTTGTTTAGCCAGGGGTGCCCAAAGTTGGTCCTCAAGGGCCGGCATCCTGCATGTTTTAGTTCTCTCCCTGGTGGCAGTAACAACCTTTTCAGCAGGTCAATGTTCTCCTTAGGCCTTCTAATGAGCCATCATTTGATCCAGGTGCGTTAAACCAGGGAGAGAACTGAAACATGCAGGATGCCGGCCCTCCACGACCGACTTTGGACACCCCTGGTTTAGACCATTGCATCCAACACTTTGCATTGTGTTTGCTGTTGCCACAGTTGGATGCAGGTGGTAAACATTGGAAACCATTTGAAACTCTTTACACACTGTCCCTAAGCTAATCTGATGACCACATGAAGTGGATATCTGTAGCTGTTGACTCAGAAAGGTGTGACCTCTGCGCAGCAGGTTCCTCTGGATCAAGTGATTCTGCTCTGAGATTTCACATGGCCTACCACTTGGTGGCTGAGCTGCTGTCGTTTCTAATTTCTTAGAAACAAACCAACAGCTGATTGCAGAGTTAGATCGAGGTTTTGCACAAGTGACATTGTGTCATGATGCCACTCTGAGCTCCTAGTACTGATCTATTCATTCACAAATGTTTCTAGAAGTGTCTGGATTTAATGAATGAGTGAATACTTTCAGCAACATAATGAATGAAGATAAGCCACAACAGTATTGTTTAAATTCTCTTGTCTTTGCATGAAGTTATGGACTACTGAATAAGTTAAAAAAAAAAAAGTAGCATACTTCTTAATCAAACCAAATAAATGTACTCAGCTTAAAGTTTGGATTTTTCACAGCTTTTTAGTGACACTATAGAACCACAATAATATTTTGAATGTTTTTTATGCAGCTTTGTCAGGGCTGCCAGTGAATGCACAGGATACTGCAGAACAGATTTGGTTTACTGACTTGGCGTAGGCTTTCTCCAGCAGGGCGCTCCAGAACTCATTGTTTTGTTTTGAATGACAGTTGATGAGTCGTCCGTGTTTGTCTGTCGGCAGCCGGTCGTCTATCACCACGTCTGTCCACTGACCGAAGATCCAGAACCGGAAGTGGAAAATCCCAGCGTAGTTTGAGTCCCACTCCTGCTCCTTCCAGTCAGGAATAACCTGGAAACATGCAAAGACAACACATTTTCTGAGTGTCTCACAGTTTACCTGAATGACATCTTTACGTAGTATGATGGTAGTAAGCAATTTAAATATTGGATTAGAGAATGGGCAGTCATCTTCTGCATATATATTTGGATTTCTAAAGTACGGCATTCAGGGTGACCAGTGTGTGGTTTAACAGAAGCTGTGTTGAAATATTATGAAGGAATGAAACTGAATCAGATGCATTGTTGTTGGAACAGATCATTCACATAGTTTTCTCTCCTTCACTTATTCCACTGCTGAAAGCTACTTGGACTTCTTTGGTGTTAAGTTTCTGTCAACTTCTCAAAATGAAGACTGCATACCACAGTTTTGGGGACAAGCTGTTACCAAAGTCCCACAAAGACCGCCAGTCTCATTTCATGTGCAAGTTTTAAAGTCAAACTATTGAATATTTTAAAAAAAAAAATCTAAGCAGATTGTTGAAAATACAATAGATTGTATCATTTTCTAATTATCTGTGTATAAACCTAAACAAATAAGTTATTTTATCAAGTTACTTTCTTGTCAGACACTTTATTGATTTATTAATTACAACAATAGTCTGATATAAACATTTTGAAGTGCTAAAACAGACTTTTAACAAATTATTTTAAGTAAACTCACATTCTCCCAGAGATCTCGTCTTAACGCCAGAGAGGCGCAGGCAGCAACCATCCAGCAATTTCCCTGTGTCCCCTGGTTCAAGTCATGAGAGCTGATGCCCTCAACAAAGAGGCGTGGGTTTTCACATATTTCCTAAAATATTGAAAGATTTATATACCTTTTAAATAAATACATCAATGACAACCTTGATAGCTGTTAAATAATGGATGACCACAACTTTCCAAAACTTTATAAATCACCAAATAATAAAAATCAGCAACTAAAAACAATCTATTTACAGGGTTTTGAAGAAGCATTCATACCCTTGGATCTTTTTACATTTTGTCACACTCCAACCACAAAATTAGGAGTATTTGACTGGGATTTAAATGATTTTCAAGTGGAAAAAATATCATACATGGTTTACAACCCGCCACTAGCTGTAAAGTATGGTAGAGGTAGCAACATGCTGACTGGATGTTTATCTTAAGCAGGACAGAGAAGCTGGTCAGACTGGCTGGGATAAAGAAACAGCCAGACGACGGATTTAGATCAAAAAAATATATTCACAATGACCCAATCAAAGTCCAGACCTTAATTCATCTAAGAATCTGTAGCAAGATGTCCTATACAGTCTGCAAAAGTATGACATTTCATTTCAGTATTTTACGACTGTCCATAAGTATAGGAAAAGAAATCAATGACACTTGCAGACGTTTGTATTTCCAGAAATTAATCTATATTTTGTATTTAGCAGTTCTTCCTTCTTTTGTTCATCCCTTCCTATTATGCCTCCTACTTGTCCTTGCAACCTAGCATCCTTATTTTTCTCACTCCTTCCCTTATATCCTTCTGTCCTTTATTTCTCCTTCCTTTCTTACAGGACTTGAGAACTTTGGAAAGTTTAATCTGGAAAAGTATGGGGTATTTTTTGTAGGATTCATGGGAGACAATCCCCAGAGACTTATAGCTGTCATTACAGTTATAAGTAATGTACTTGTAGAAAGTATTCATACAAGAAGGCAAAATACATCAAAAACATCGGAAACGATCAAGAATAATACTTTGTTTTTGATCGTCTAACAATATTTTGTTAGAACAAGGTAAAAAAAAAAAAAGACAATCTATGGAGATATAAAACACTTGCAACATTTCTGGAGTGGAATAAACTCACCCCGGGTCGTTTCCACTGCAAACCTTCAGGAGGGGTTTTGGTGTAATAAACCGATGAATTGGTGGCTGGGAACTCTGGGTCTTCAAACAGCGTCCCGTTCTGGTTGTGCTGCTTCTTCAGCTCAGCGTAGAGCTGATCCTTGTAAGCGACAGACATGGTGGAGATGCTGAGGCCTCACAGCTGCAGATGAGAGACAGCAGAGGATTCTGGTCTTTATATGGGAGGAATCAGAAATGATTTAGTCTTGGTGGGATTGCTGTACTGCTCCAGACTGACCCATGACCCTGAGTGAGTCTCGGTGGACTCATCGAGTTTGTCTGGACAGATGAAAAGTATTTATGATATTGGAAAAGATTTGACACCTTCACCTTTGCTGGTTCTACTACGCAAGTATTACGCTGGATGTGCTTACCGCTGACATTTTACCTCCATACCTGAATGGTGAGGTGACTTGATAACTGATCATTCAGTATTGATTGAGAGTTTATTGTCACTTACCTTGGGTTTACCATTTTTATGTCAAGATTTAAATTTTCTTCTCTTTATTGGAATATTAAAGCAGAAAATATTGAAAATGAGTCTCAGGAAATTAAGTTTATTTTTTATCTGGCTGTTACAGGTGACGCCACCTACACTTCCCAGTGTTTCCAGGATGTACGTGAACCAACGTAAAGATCAGGGAAAACTATTTGTTTAAAGACGTGTTCATGTTTATTTCAACAAGAGAAACAGAAAGTAAAATGTACTTAAAGTAAAGATTGAAGTTCAGAAAACGGTAAACACTGCTCTTTCTGGTTGTGTAACATGTTCTTTAAAGTTACAAATTAAGAACAGAAACATTTCAAAAGCAACACTTACCAACCAGAAAGTCTTATTCTTGGAAAGATGAACTTAGATTCTATCGATCTTCCCTCAAACTCCACGTCAGGTGTTTACAAGTCAGTCCACAGCCACAACACAAAACAACTGTCTATCACACCTTCCTCTGAATGAAATGAGATTTCCTGCTCTGCTACTGTGATCAGTTCCCAAAAGCAGGGTCAGAAAACTGGCCTGGCGTTTATATCAGTGTGTAGGAGTATGCCATGTAAAACGGCTGATTGGATCTCTGAAAGTATTTAAGGAAGGGGAAACAGAAAATAAACATCCCCGCCTCCCCCGAAGGTAACACTGGTAGGAACCTGCTGGTCTTGTTTAGAAACACACAGAACTCAATCTTCTACTCATAATATTAGCATCACAAATCTGACTATGTTAAATCATTTTAAAAACTTTTTACGCACCACTGATAAATTGAACTGTAGGAACGAAACAAACGGGCAGGCACCAGCGATCTGAACTCCACTGTGACTCCCACCTGAAGAGATCTGGTCAGGCTAACCACCACGGATCAGTTTCTTTCTCAATATCCTTAGTTCATCTCTCAAAATTAAATATGTAAATCAAGGAACATGTGAGTGTCTCAGAATTACAAGTTCTTCTTTCATTGAGTTTGGATAAGAATCAAATTGGCTAGTCATGTTGTCAATATAGCGATGTGCTCTGGAGGGATATTTTGATGTAAACTATGGAAACAGAAAGAAAACTAAAGTAGCAAAAGGGACATACGTAAGACAATCTCCTCAAGGAAAACTGTACATGCAGTGCAGTTCAGCACAGATTTAGAAAAAAAATCAATACGATTCACATATTGTGACAACTTGTTCAAGCATTTTGCATTTTTATAAGAAATTATCCTTAAATTGTGCCGGTCGAGACTATTCAACAGCATGATACAGTTTGATCAACATGACAAAAGCAATTCAAATGTAGAAAAAAGTAAACTTGTTGAAAGATTTATTTTTGTGCACCAGTGACACAATGAAGGCAAGTACTTTTGAGAATTTCAATTCTGTTGTGAGAAATTCACCAATGCAAACTGTGAGGCAGGAAAAAAATTTAATAAAGCTACACAGTGAAATAAGGCTGTACTTGTTGCTGCTTTGCAATTTCATGATCATTCTTATTTATCCCTACAGTGTTGGCTTGCAGCAGTTACACAGGGTCTGTGTTATGTGTCCAGTTTGACACCACAGCAACTGGACATGATTCTCTTTTTAGGGTCATGTTTAATCCTAAGACGAGTGTTGTTATGAATGCTATGACTAAGAAGGATCAAAAGATGAATTTTCCTTCTTTTTATTAAAACTGTGGAATTAAATATATTCCGACTGAGTTTTCCCAGGACAGAAGCTTAATTTTCATAATTTTCCATCTAAACCGGCATTTTGTGAAATAGCCAGCAGGGGGCGACTACAAAATATTTTTCTGTAGAAGTAGAAGAACTTGTGCGGGGAAAAAAAGTGAAAGAAAAAATAAATAAATAAAAAGACTCTGCGTGCATGCCGACAAACAAACAGTAAATAATGGCACAGATAATAAAACTCAATGTGTTACCCAATACATTTTTTGAGTCATTTCTGCCTTATCAGCCAACAGTGAGGCAAAGGCTTCGGGCAAGAAATTTTTCTATGGAGTCCTAAATCAGGTCTGGAAGATTATTAGCGGAAAACAACAGAGAAATCAACGATAAAGCCCATGAGGATGAGTGTGAATGCTGTGTCAGACACATTTGTACATACAAAACGGGTGAGTAATGATTTAAACAAGGCCTGCTTGTGAAAGTCCACCTTAAGGAAAAAACTTAAAAATAAACTGTAGCATAAAATGGTGTTAAAATGTAAATACAGCACTTAAACAAACCGGGGTAACAATGCAAAATACCACTCAAATAACAGTGTAAGTTTTAGAGAAAAAGAAAAAAGTTGTTTAATCTGAAAATCATGAAAGAAGAGGACATGTATTTACGTCATGGTAAACTATATCTCTACGAAACAAAGTGACAGGAGGCTTCCTCATTTAAGACATTAAAAAACATATTACCAATAGAATGTAAAATGTACTTTTACATTCAATTTACTGTATTTATCAAAAGACATTTATCTAGAAAAAAAGGCAATGCTAATGGTTATAAATCACACCAATCATTGTCAATGGTGGCAGCCGCTTCATTCAAGATAAACATTTTTTGCTTTATATGTCGAGATGTAAAAAGTTGAGGAGAAACTTGATTTATCAGAAGCAACCATTAGAAAGACAGTAAATTATTTTAATACTTTTTATCCTTTTATTGGTATTGATCCAATAGAGGCGGCTGCTAATGTTAATTAAATATTTGGAAACGTGGCCAACACAATCTGAAACATTTCATTCACTTCCTCATTACTAAAACTACAGGCAGACTAAAAATTGACATAATCATTCACAACGTAATAGCCCAGTAGAAATTCTTGCAGAGGGAATCCAAGTAAATGGCAGAAAGCCCAGACTGAGCTATAGGTGAGATTTAAATCAAGTAAAATGGCACAGGAAGGCAAAGGCAAAGCTAGAATAATCCTGTCAAGTTCACTGACAGGCTCCATAGTGTTACTTCAGTTTTACTCATTGTTTCATGAAAAAATACTTTCCCAAACACACAAATATAAAAATAGTAGTCAACAAAAACATGTTTCTAAAAAGAAGTCAAAATGAACCCACAATCTGGTCAGAATCATCTTGCTTTCCTCCTAACTTTCTAAAAATAATAATGGACGGTGTTCAAGCTGTTTCAGTTCATCGATGACACTTAATACTGTACGTTTCAAATGTCTCATTAGAAGGCCGTCAGCTCGTTTGAAGTGACGAGCCTCAGGGCGATTTTGCCGGGCATATTATCCGCCTTCTTACTGCCTTTATTCTTCAGCTGGAGCTGCTGAGGGTGAGAGGCGTCCTCAGGCCTCCCGGACAGCATGACTTGGCCTAAGAATGTGTCCGATCCAAGGTCATCGCTCCACAACTGGAAAAGACCAGACAGGTTCAGTACCAAATAACACAGGAGGTGATTTGTTGTGTTAGAATAGAAATTTTTGCCCAGGCTGTGATTAATTTAGTGTTTTTTAATTACACGTAATTAAAAACACTTTACATACTGTGCTGTAGTAGAGGTGTTGCATGTTTAGCCCTTCTACCCTGGTCTTCAGTTTTTTGAATATATAATAGATTACTTTACCACAATGATGTGGAAGCATTATTGTTATATAAATTTAACACCTATTTGTGGGGTTGCCAGGCTTGTCAGTACTTGTGTACATGTGCTTTTAAGCATTTAGTTTATTTAAATATGTATAGGGAAAGCCTTTCAATTTACCATTTATGTTGTTCAGAGAAATCCTGACTCTGCTTTGTTTTCATTTAAAGTCTTTTTTCTGCCTTCTGATGTTTTTTCATCCCTAAAAACAGTAAATGACTAAAAACACCAGTAAGCCTTGGCAGTAAATACCAGCCCCACTGATCTGAGACTAATCACTGTCACTGATTTTTCAACTTACCTGCACTGTTATGGGCTCTGCGACCTTCTTCCTGTAGAAAATGGCGCTAAATTCAAAAACCGGGGTCAAAGAGTTCTTCTTGGTGGTGGACCTCACTGATTGGCTCTCACAGGAAATGATCACATATGGGTTTATGTCTAAAAGATGCATTTAGTTTTATTTCTGTGAATTATAAATGAACAGGACTCGTTTGAGAAAACATTCTCTTACCCTCCGCCTGGTCTTGCTGACCGATCTCAGCTCTGTCCACATATATGTGAGTAACAACTTGAGGATATCCACAGAGCGGAGTCCAACATTTAGGCTGTGGTTTGTCCTTCAACAGCTCCCTGAGGGAAGACATGGATAGAAAACATGTTTCTTAATATTCTGACCTCAATCAAAAGGCAGCCAGTCTGACTAAAACATATTTGATGTTTTAGACCAAGCAGATCTCAATGCTCCCTTGTTTGAGCTGCCAAAACAAAGAATGGAGAAACGGAGAAATATAAATAAAGTTAATCAAAACATAATCTTAGGCCAGAAAAAGCTCAGTTATTCCCCAAAACAGAAATCTGATTGCTTCTACAAAATATAATCCATCATTCAGGGTCCACATCAGCATTTTAAAATAGTTGTTTTTTTCCCCTCAAGGCTTTGAAACACATGATGGTTTACCAGAGACAAAATGTTAGATTTCCACAGGTTCACCCAAAGGTTAGTTTAAATCATTTGAATTTTCTGTGCCATCAGTTTCTTACCGGCAGCCGGAGTCCACGTCCGTGTAAAGCCGGAGCATGAACTCTCCTTCTGTGAAAGGCTTGAAGGTGGTCGGGATGACGACATATCGGCCCTGTGGCAGCTCACATCTCATGAACACCGACCGAGCGTCGATGTAGGTGGAGGTATGCAGAAGCTGTTGCGTCACCAAGTCGTGCAGCCGATACTTCCTGTTCACCTCCACCTGCAAAGTAATTCCCGGTTGTACATTCGTCACTGCAGATTTAGCGTATTTCTATATATTCAGTTGATGTACTGTGAAAAACTATATTTTTTACAAGCCCGTAATCAGTCTGAGAGCATGTTTGTACTAAAATGGGTTAAAAATAAATCAAAGTTTTATCTGTAAAAACAAATGCTGAAAGAAAGACACATAGTGGGTGTTTATGCACTACTTTGTGTTGATCTGTTACATAACATCAGAATAAATAGGCGTTTGAAAAGGACACTACGCCTTATAAGTGTTTATAGATATTTGCGTTGCAAAGAAACCTCCACATTTCTTTACAGGACTTTGAGGCATGACTGCCTCTTAGTGGTGGGGACGTGTATTGCAGTTGCTCAGAAAGTGGTTGTACTGTAAGTGCAGAGGGTTATACTGCAAAAATGCTAAGCTTATCTCAAACAGGAAACGCTCTTTAAATGTAATAGGCACAAGCAAAACACCAACTTGACTCTGTCAGATGAAACATGACAAATCACTGATAAAATCATCACAAATCAAAGTTTCAATTTAGTGTGCTGCTGGTATTTTAACATATCATGTTCACACAACTCTTCTGTTTTTATCACAAGCCCTTTATGTCACATTTCAGCAGCACCTATAACAGAGTGATAACAGAATCTGTGGTGCGTTTGAAAGTTTCCAGGTCTCTGGCATTAAAGACCCTTGTGAGGAAACATGCCATCAGTTTAGACATGTGTGGACACATGGCCTCATTTAAATGAGACAATTCAACATGATGAGGAAAGTTAATACTTTATCAGAAAGTAAACTTTCACCAGAGATATAAATATCCCGTGTGCAACACACCAGGCTTGTACCAAGGAACCAGACCTGTCTGCAACTTCTGCAGAGAAAAAGTAAAATCATCATCAAGGTTTTTGGCTGCATTTTGCCTCTCAGTTTGAAACTGATGTGTTCAGCCTCTGGCTAAAAGGTCTGCTTGGGTTCAGATAAGAGCTAAATGAAACACTCATCTGTTGATAGTTTAATGAAGTAGGAAAGGACTGCAGCCAAACCAAATTCTTTTATAATAAGAAACATGAAATTAACATGTTTTCCCCAAATATTAACTGTCTTTATATTGTAATGATTTTTACATAACTTTTTATATAAACTGTGCAGTTACTATTATTCTATTTCTTGCTGCTCAAGAATTTTGAAGAAATTAGTAGTGACATGATTACTATTACTGTTATTATTTTATTATAACCTCACTACTTGGTGGCAGTACATTGAGTAGCACACTTGAATTGCTACTGCAATGACCACCGTGAACTTGTGTTTTTGCCTCATTAATCTCAGAGTCCTTGTTTTTTGTACAACAGAGAGTTGTATGGATGATTTGTGTTACCTTTACGATGGTGAAGCCGATGCTTAGATTGTCTCCTTGACCTTCTTTCCTGTAGATCTTTCTGTCTTTCTGCTGCAGTGAGATCAGGACCTCGTCAGATTCTTTGGTAACATCAAACAAGTACTGGAAGAGAAGGGGAAATGCATTAGTTTGTAGTTGTTAGTTATTTGTTTTTATTACGTATAGACAGACTCTCAGAGATGGAGGGACAGGGTGTCTCCAGAGCCTTCAGCACCTGTGGGTTCTGCAGAAATGTCTGCCTGTGGTTGGTACAGCCACCGCAGCGGTTCAGCAGGGGGTCGCTGTTTCGAGTCCATTTCCCAAAGTTCACTTCCTTATTCCAGGTCTTATGGATGCTGATCAGTGAGGTGTTTATTATGCGACAAACGTCTGCATCAGTGAAGTTCTTGCACCAGTCTGTGAATGACATCCTGTTGATCCAAACAGAGAGCGCATCGATACTGAACAGTTAGGAATCAAATTAAATGCAATCAGAGTGTAATCAGAGACCCCGACCCACCAAAACTCTCCATCGTCCGCCACTGTGATGCCGAGGTTGCCTCTTTCTGTGTCACCGACCTTTGACCATTCTTCAGAACTGACAAACAACAATCAAAGCCAAAAAAGGTGGTTATTTAGCAGGAGCCATTCAAAAGATGCAGAGAATATTCTACTTTAGAAAACAACTGTTTCACATACATGATCCTGTGACATGGGAAGAAAATAATGCATAGTTTCGATATATGTTTACATGTTTGTTGAGAACAAAGGTGAGAGAAAGGTACCTAAAGAAAGTTAAGCTAAATGCATTTGTAGTTCAATATGTTTCATGTTAACAGCAGTAAAAGAGTTAAGAGCCTGAAATATTTGTTCTTTAACTTACAAAGAGAGGAACAAATATTGCTACTTAACCAACCTCTGAGGCCTTCACAGAACAGCTGTAAAGATCCTGAGATTAAAAGTGAACTATATTTACTAATTAGATTATACTGAAGCCATGTAGAGGTTTCAGGAATGTTATGTAGAGGTTTCAGATGAAAAAAGGCAAACAACACTTTTAGGCTTCGTAGAAAACGAAGCCTAAAAGATTTTTATGATTGTGCCATAAAAATCTACAGATATTAATGATGCCTTTTAATGATGCTTTTAATGATGCCTTTTGAGAGCTTTCCTTTTTTCATTTAAACCACACATAAGACTTTCATTTTATTGCTTGAACTAACTGTTAATACCAAAGTAGTTTTTTTAGATTAATATTTAAGCCTGAAAAAATGTTGTTAATCTTGTTTGGATTTGGAGCTGGTGAATGTGAGACCATTTTGTGCCATCCTTGACCTCAGCTGTATAGCAGATTTTTCAGACTTAAACCCAAGTTATATTTTAGCAAACTGGAACAATGAAATCGATTGTCTTGCTTTTTCTGTGTGGCATCTTTTTCAGTTAATAAATTGATTTATAAAGACGGTTTTGGGGCCGTGCCAGTTGTAATGCCTTTCTGACCCAGTGACAGGAAAATGACTCCCCTCATGAGCCCTCCTGACCTGTCACTCCACGCTCCTGTCCACTCAGTTTTACCCCAGGGGTTTCTCAGGCGGATGAGTGGAATGGTTTCATTCCTGAAGTAGGCCAGCAGCCCGTGACCCAAACGCACTCGTTTCACGTCAGTTACCGAGTACGCATGGCCTCGCACCAGCCCGTTATCCGTCCTCGACTCAAGCCCAAATCCCTGCGGCTGTGACATTTCAAAGAAAATGTTTTAATTTTGACGTAGTCAGAGACTCTGGAGAGGCGTAAACAGAGAAAACTTGCAGGAGCAGATGGTCACTTACCTTGATGGAGGAGCTGATGATTCCTCCGCGATTCCACACCTTGAGAATATCCTCAAAAAATTTATCTTCTTTGGTTTGTTCCGCGTAGTATTTCTCTTTCTGCAGGTCGATGGCTTCCGCCACGGCTCCACTGAAATCCACCACAGCATCTCCAGTGTTGCCTCCAGCCAGGGACTCATAGCAGCCAAACAGCCTGGCCACGGTGGGAGGAGGAGCATTTGAAGAGTTGATAGGCAGTTAAGATAGTTTGGCAACTTAAAATATGCACGTGATGTTAGACAATACTCAAAATTAGCAACAGTTGTTGATGATCCTTAATTTCAACTCAGGTTTTAGCTGATTAAGAGATTCAGGTCCTGTTTCTGTTTTCTATTTCAAAGAAGACACTTTTAGATAACACAAACATTTTGTTACACCGTACGGTGAATAAAAACCACATCCTCGCAGATGAAACAAAGGCTTTGTGTAAAAGTCTTTGTTCTCTAACAATGAGCTTTGGAAACAAATGTATCCCCTTTATCAGAAGATAAACATTTCCACTATATTTCCAGAAGTACTCATCTCCCTTCACATATGCAACCTTTACTGACATCCTGTTTTAAATACATAAAGTTTATACATGATGTTTGCCCATATTTTGCTCTGTGACCTTTTCTTCTGTAAACACTTTCAGCAACAATTTGGAGTTTGTTTGTTTTTTTTACCACTCTGTCTGAAGTGTATTTGTGAGGTCAGACACTGTTGTTGGGCAGTCGGGCCTGATTTCCATCTGAATTATGTCCCATCAGTTTGAAGACTATGCGCAGGCCAGTCAAGCTCTTCCACACCAGACTCACTCATATGTCTTTATAGACCTTGCTTTGTGCGGTTTTGTGCAAACATGTTAGAACAAGAAGAGATCATCTTCAAAATATTTGACCAATGTTGAGAGCATGAATTCTTTTAAGGCTTTTCATGCAGTTTTATCAGGGCTGTCAGTGAATGTACAGGATGCTGAGGAACAGATTTGGTTTACTGACTTGGCGTAGGCTTTCTCCAGCAGGGCGCTCCAGAACTCATTGTTTTGTTTTGACTGGCAGTAGATGAGTTGTCCGTTGATTGTCGGCAGTCGGTCGTCTATCACCACGTCTGTCCACTGACCGAAAATCCAGAACCTGAAGTGGAAAATCCCAGCGTAGTTTGAGTCCCACTCCTGCTCCTTCCAGTCAGGAATTACCTGGAAACATGCAAGCACAATAAATTTACCAAACGTCTCATTTACATATATATTTGAAGTACAGCATTATGGGTAACCTGTGTCTGCTTTGCAGTAACAGAGGTTGTGTTGAAATATTTTTAAGGAATGAAACTGAACCAGCTGCATTGTTGTTGGAACAGATCACTCACATAGTTTTCAAATTCTTTTCGCAAGTTATTGTCTTGACAGACTCTTTGCTGTTTTATTAATTCTAACAATATTCTCATGTTGATATGTTGAAGTGCTAAATATATATATATATATATATATATATATATATATATATATATATATATATATTTTTTTTTTTTTTTTTTTTTTTAAAAAAAACTCCCTCTCCCCCAGAGGT